AAGAGAGAGATCAATCTGGCCTCAAACTCAAAGATCTGCCTGCCTCTGGCTCCTGAGCACTATATTAAAGATGGATACCGCCACACCATTTGACTGTTTTTGAAAAGCTGAGCCTAGCTTCCAACTTTATGTAGCCAAGGATGATCTCGAATTCCTGATCCTCCTACCTCCACCTCTCAAGTGCTAGGATTATAGTTATGTGTCACCACACCCAACCTTTCCGGGAATTTTGAGACAAAGTCTAACACAGCCAAACACAGCCAGCATGAGATACAGAGTGGGACCCTGCCTCAAAAAGAAAAAAGCTAAAACAAAGACATTAGGACATTTTTTCAATCACATGACTGGTGGGCTGAGAAAAAACTGGAGGGTGGGTGTGTGCCTTTAATCCGAGTGCTGGGAAGGCAGAGAAATACCTATCTCCAGGCCAGCCTGGTCTACATAAATTCCAGAATGGCTCCTGCAGTGAGACTTCATTGTTGGTATAATGTTCTTTTGAAATGTATACACCTTACCCCTCTTCATTCAAATGCGGATTTCTCCCCCACACCCTTTGGTTTCAATCCGGATATTGCATTGTGATACTTATTCTAAGCATCCTATCTCAATTTGTGTAAACAGGCCAAAATAGGGGGTTGGAGAGATGGCTCAGTGGGTAAGAGCACAAAGGACCGGGGTTCAATTCCCAGCACCCACATGGCAGCTCACAACTGTCTGTAACCCGCATTCCAAGGGATCTGACACCTTCACACTAATGCACATAAAATAAAATTAAATAAAAAATAAAAAAAAAGACCAAAATAGACCAACGAGCCACAATGTTGAGCAATGAGGAGAGGCTAGCAGGGGAGAGATCTTGGAACAGCATGGAGAGAATGAACCAGACCTAAGATTTCATAAAAAGCAAGCATAATGGGTAAAAGCAAGCCATAAAGTCTAAATGTTAGGAAACTATGAGGTTCAGAAGGGAGTAACTATTGCCCAGCATTGTGTTCTAGATTAACTAAATAAACCCAGTTTCTGTGTGGTGATTTGGTTATACAGCTGCTTAGAACTAACAGCAACTTTACCAGAAGATATATCGCCACATACAACACCTCATCTCAGAGAGAGTGATTAATGGGGAGGGCTAATGAAATGGCTAATCAGGCCATAGGACCTGAGTTCAATCCCTGGATCCCATAAATTGTCAAGGGAGAACTATCTGCCAAAAACTGTCTTCTGATCTCCACAACACTTTACCACTGAGCTCCATCTCTGCCCTCTGATTTGATTTTTTTTTTTTTTAATTCCTTTAAGCAATAGGAAGCTGTAGAAGCATTTAGAAAGACAACATTGGCGATAGGGGAGTAGAACAGTGGGGGGTGGCACTTGTCTGCTCAGACCCTGAGTTCAATCCCCAACCCCAAAGAGTTACAAACCAAGCCTGGTGTAGTTATGGAAACAAAGGAGTAAAAAGGGGGTGAAGAAAAGGCATAAAAGCCCAGGCTGTTCTAGACTCAAGGAATCTTTCCTCAGCTTCCCAAGCACTAGAGTTTCCAACATGCCTGGTTTTAGATTGGTTCCTTGTCTCGATGGTGCTGCACACCTTTAATCCCCGTACTCAGGTGGCTGAGGCACAGGGATTTCTGAGGTCAAGGCCAGGCTGGTCTACATAGTGAGTTCCATGTTAGCCAAAGATGTATAGTGAGACTCCTATCTTGAGAAAGACTGATGCCTTTTGTGAGCTGTCAGTTATTTTTCAGGCCTCTTGTTAATATAGATGGTGTTCTGGTTTGGATAGAGAATGTTACTGTTCTTGGTAGTTCTATGTCAATTTGACAGAAACTACAGTAATTAGGGAGAGGGACTATCAGTCGAGAAAATGCCCCAGAAGACATGCCTATAGGCAAGCCTGTAGGGTATTCGTGATTGATATGGGCTAATTGTGAGTGATGCCATCCCTGGGTAGGTTGTCTTGTCCTGTACAAGGAAGCAGGCTGAGCAAGACATGGAGAGAAGCTAGCATGCCATGTTCCTCCATGCTCAAGGCATTATTTCCTGCTTCTAGGTTTCTGCCTTGAGTTCCTGTCTTGACTTCCTTCAGCAATGGAGTGTGACCTGAGAGTTCTAAGATGAACACTTTCCTTCCTAAATTGTTTTTGGTGATGGTGTTTCATGACAGCAACAAGACCTAAGACAGTTCCCAGTCTTGTGTTTGAACACCTGGTTCCTAGGTATTAGTGACGGTTTGGAAGGTTCTGGGATCTTTAGGAAGTGGCGCCTCACTGAGGAAGTGGGTCACTGTGGGAAGGAAGGCCTTAAGGTTTATAGCTAGCTCCATGTGATGTCGAATTGGTACTTCCTAATCTTTCAGATGTGAGCAAGCTGCCCCATTCTCCCATCACCAGCTTGCCGCCATGTCTTCCCTGCTTCCCCCCAAAACGTGAGCCAAGATCCATCCATCTTTCCTTTTAGTTATCAGGTGAGCACAGGGAAGAGTAGCTAACACAGACGGTGGGCTGGCCTGACTGAGAATGGCCCCCTTCTGTGCTTATTATTTGAATGCTTAGTTTTTAGTTGGTGGGGCTGTTGTGGGGGCCTTGTTGGAGGACACATGTCACCAGAAGCAGGCTTTGATGTTTAAAAGCCCAAATCAGGACCAGCCTTGTTATCTCTCTGCCTCCAACTTTCTGGTAAGACATATAACCTCTCTGTTCCTACCCCAGTGTCATGACTACCTGTTGTCACACCCCCACTATGATGATCTTGGACTCATCCTCTGAAACTATAAGCAAGACCCCGGTTAGAGGCTTTTTTTTAAAAAAAAGTTTATTTAGTATTTATTTATACAGTGTTCTGTCTGCATGTACACCTGCACACCAGAAGGGAGCACCCGATTTAATTATAGATGGTTATGAGTCACCATGTGGTTGTTGGGAATTGAAATCAGAACCTATTGGAAGAACAGCCAGTGCTCTTAACCACTGAGGCATCTCTCCAGCCCAAGAGCAGTGTTCTTAACCTCTGAGCCATTCCTCCAGCCCCCAACTTTCTTTCAAAATAAATAAATAAATAAATAGATAGATAGATAAATAAATAATAGTGTAGGCCAGGCAGAGGGGGCACACAGGCTAATCCCAGCACTTGGGAGCCAGAGACAGGTGGATCTCTGGGTTTGAGACCAGCCTGGTCTACTGAAAATTCCAGGACAGCCAGGGTAACACAGAAACCCTGAAATAAAAAAAAGAGAGAGAGAGAGAGAAAGGAAGGACAGACCCTAGCATAACTGTGTTTTTAAGTATGTATGTGCAAAGGCACCTGTGTGGAGGTCAGAAGACAACTCTGTGGAGATGATTCTCTCTTTCCACCTTCACATGGGTTCTGAGGATCAAACTCAAGATGCAGCAGGCACAGTCTCGAATGTCTTTCTTTTTAAATAATTTTATTTTTTTAAATTACATGATATATCGCTTATGTATATGAGGATTTAAGTGTGGATGGCCACGGAGGCCAGAGCTCATCCTGCTATGAGCTGATACGAGCTGCTGGACATGGGGGCTGGAAATCAAACCCGGTCCCAAGCATGAGCTCTTCTTCACTGTTGAAGTCTCTCTCTAGAGGGCCCTCATTGAGCATCTTGACAGCTTGATTTTTTTTTTTTTTCAGGAGCAGGGAAGTGGTATTACAGAATCTCAGGATGGCCTCAATCTTGACTACTTAACTACAAATGACTATGAACCTGATTCTCCTGCCTCCACTCCCTAGTGCTGGGATTACAGGATTACATCCACACACTAACTTTATTGATGCTGAACTCTGCGGTCTTCAAACTTGCTAGGCAAACATTGCACCAACTGAGCTTATTCCCAGCCTCTCTAGCACAATTTAACCAGCCAAGCCCTTATTACCAGGCTCCTACCATTTTGGCATCATTTTTCGCTCCCTTCATATTCTGTACTCACTCTTAGTTTCTGTCACATCTTAGATTTTTCCAAAACCATCCAATTTCAAAGCTTTTCCCCAAGCTGTCTAATTTGGAATGCTGTTCCTACTCTCACCTCCTTTAACTAACTAATCATCACTTATCCTTAAGACCTCAACTAATTAAATAAGAAGGCTTCACGTGATAGACTTCTCCCAATTATAATTAAACTAATTGTGTGATTACTTAAAGTCTGTCTCCTCAAATAGACCACAGGGACCAGCACATCTTAGTTATACTATATCCCCAGGGACTAGCACTATGCTTAATACACATGCACTCATGAATATTAGTGAACGAAGATAAATGCTTTAACCTGAAAGAACCCTATGGATAGAGCTTAAAACCAGATTGAGTCACCAAAATTCTTCCTAAATCTATTAGTAACGTCTGATGGGGTAAGATAATTATCATCTTAGGTGAAGGCTTTAAGTGACAAGGCTTTGATCCTGATACCCGCCTCCTTCAGATAACCTGTGCACACTCACTGTAGTACCCAAGAGGAACAAAGCCTACCTTTCATATTCTGCAAGCAGAGACCCCTAAACATGTAATAATATCTTAGATGGTGGGAAGCACGCTTCCTCTTCTTAAATTAAGGCACTGACTAGAGTAGGGGATGGTAAATATTAAAGATCCAGTTTTGCTTTAAAACCTCAGTAAGTGGGCTGGAGAGATAGCTCAGAGGTTAAGAGCACTGGCTGTTCTTCCAGAGGTCCTGACCATAACCACATGGTGGCTTATGACCGTCTATGAGGAGATCTGGTGCCCTCTTCTAACCTGCAGGCACACATGCAAACAGAATACTGCATACATAATAAATATATAGATAAATAAATAAATGAATGACCCTTAGTAAGTGCCAGTCTATCAATTCGAGGTGTAAAATTTCTGGCATTTTGTAGAGCATTAGGAAAGCATGTATAGAGGTATGTATACACGGAGAGATGGATAGATAGAGAGATAGATAGATAGATAAAAGACAACAACTTTGATCCCACGCCTAACCAGACAAGTAAGTCAGGCAAACAGTGTATACACTCCAATGGCTTTATTGACTTCTTCTTTCTCAGGTATAGTAGGCAATACTTAGCACAAGAGCTGACACGGAGGCTGAGAAATAAGGTCTCAGTACGGGTCATTAAAGGGATACAGGGGATGTCCAGCATCTCTGGGAACCCTCTTCCCATCCACCTGAAAAGAAAGACAAATAAAAAAAAAAAAAACTCATCAGCAAACATTGATATTCCAAAGACCTAGACATTCCAAATTACCTCCAATTCTTCTGAAGAATTTCACCTATCCATAGCACTCTACCAGGTGACATCAGTAGGACCCAATCCTCAATTAATGTCCTCCAGCATCAAACCCACAGCCTGGTACATGGTTGGCCCTGCTTTTAAGACTCTGTCGTCTAACCCCTTGATGGGGGAGCAACCTTACCAGGCCACCGAGGAAGACAATGCAGCCAGTCCTGATGAGACCTGATAGACTAAGGTCAGAGGGAAGAGGAGGAGGATATCCCCTATCAGTGGACTTGGAGAGGGGAATGGGAGGAGATGAGGGAGAGAGGGTGGGATTGGGAGGGCATGAAGGAAGGGGCTAAGCTGGGATACAAAGTGAATAAACTAAATAATTTTTTAAAAGATAAAAAAAAAAAAAACCTCTGTAGTCTCAACTGAAATAATGTGCACAGAATCCGATTATCTCCTTACAGATAGCAGACTTCAACAAGGTCAAGAATGCTTTTTGACCTCCACTCTTATTATTTAACTGGAGAAATTAAATAGGTTATAAGATAATCAAGAGGCAGGACTGAGACTCACAGGTTTTGTATATTACACCTGAGCCATACTAATTTTCTCCAACTTCAAGAGAACAAGATCATTGGAGCAGAGCTTGGTGTAGCACAGAACTTGGTAAGCTGAGGCAAGAAAATGAAGAATGGAGAATGCCTAAAAGGAAGGAAAGGAAAACAAAAAGGCAAAGGGAAAGAAAAATCAGGCAGAAGGAATGGCAGGAGTTCAAAGCCAGCCTGAGATACATAGTGAACTCCACCAAAGTATGAACTACAATCTAAGTCCCCATCTCAAAACCAAACAAACAAAAGCACTGTACTTGCCCATCACCACCTGTGGCAAGCAAAAGCACTGAGATCATGAGAAGCGGTGAGCTGGGTCTGTCCCTCACCTGTTGCAATACAAGAAAGTGGGCCCTGAACCTTGTTTGGGAAGCACAGTAGAGCTGGCCCTGGTGGAGGGGGCAGATGAGCTGGCCCAAGGGCCAGAATGCTGAAGAGTTGGCCCTATCTCTGGTCAAGCATGAGATGGCAGGTGGCGTGGATGCAGGAGTGATACCATCCCTCTCCCATTACCACCCGCAGTAGGCAGGAGAGCTGACTCTGGGATCATGAGAGGAGAAGAGCTAGCCTTGCCTCCTCACTAGCTGTAGCACTTGGGAGGGCAGGGTGTGCACCTCATCTGGACAACACACTGGAGTTGGCCCTGATGGTGAAGGCATGGTGAATAGAGACTGAAGGCGTAAGAACAGGAGAGCTGACCCTGCCTCTTGCCAGTGGCAGCATTGGGTGGCCTAGCCAGAGCAATGTTGGAGAGCTCACCCCGGTAAGGTAAGGAAAAACCAGCGTAATGACCAGCTCAGCTACCACCCAGGTCCAGATCCAGGGCTCTGAGTTGGTGTGAAACTTCCAGTCCTTCTGTTCCAAAGCTGCAGGATCTCCATGACACAGGGCAACAACAGGAGAACTAGGAGGAGTCCCGATGAGGATCCAACATTGATGGTGTTACAGAAGCCAGAGATCTTGAACCAGACCAATGACTCACTGCAGGGAACATTTGCAAACAAAGATGTATGGGCAGAGGGACACCTGACATACGGCAGCTTCCACGGTGAGATGGTCTCTATGCATTGTTTATTTGTTATTGCAGTTGTTAAGTGTGGTTTATTTTGGGGAGTTCCAAGGGCAAAGGGTGGATATGAGGGGATGGGGAGATGAGCGGGACTGGGGTATATAAGGTGAGACTCACAAGAATCAATAAGAAGTTAAAAAAAAAAAAACGGTGGGGGGAGCCAGGCATGATGGCACAGACTTTTTTTTTTTTTTAATGTACAGTGGTGTTTGACTGCATGTACATCTGTGTAAGGGTGTCAGATCCCTGGAACAGAAGTTACAGACAATTGTGAGCTGCCATGTGGGTGCTGCGAATTGAACCCAGGTCCTCTGGAAGAGCAGTCAGTGCTCTTACCCACTGAGCCATCTCTCCAGCCCAAAGGCACACACCTTTAATACTCAGGAGGCACAGACAGGCATATCTCTCTGAGTTCCAGGCCAGCCAAGGCAATATAGTGAAACCCTGTTTCAAAAAAGTACAAAAAGCCAGACACAGTGGTGCACAACTATAAACCCAGTACTCAAGGAGGCAGAGGCAGGTGGATCGCTATGAGTTTGAGGCCAGCCTGGTCTACAAAGTGAGTCCAGGACTTCCAAAGCTACACAGAGAAACCCTGTCTCAAAATAGATAGACAGACAGATAGACAAAGAAGAAGGAAGACAGGGAAGGAGGAAAAGAAACACACGCTACACCTTGGGTAGCAATCCCACCCACATTCTTCTCCAAGCAGCAGGCCTGAGGCCAGACCTAGGCCACCACACTCCAAACCTCCTATGAAGGTGCTCCTATTGAAGCAGGCCTGAGCATGTCACCTATTCCGTGTTCCTTGACTCTAAATGGTTACACATTCTTACCGTTATCATGGGCACAATATACCGCCAATTTTTGTTCAAAGCATCTAATTGCTTCATTTCCTCTGGGCTTAAGGTGAAATCAAATACCTGGGGAACAGAAAAATCAGCCTTGTGAGTGGTAGTTGGAGTCCCCCAATACTGGCTACTTAACAGTCAGAATCAGGGCCAGAACAGATCTCAAATAGACGGAAGAAGAGAGAACCCATGACCAAGTACCTGAATGTTCTGAAGGATTCGTGAAGGAGTGATGCTTTTGGGGATGCAGATTACTTTCCGCTGAACCTGCCATCTATGGGGAATGAAGACAAGGAAAAGGAGTTAGTATTCAGAAACACCATCTTAAACCTTAATGCAGCCCTCCCTAATTCCTTGACCACCTGAGCCTCGATGAAAGAGGCAACATGCCTTTAGAGCACCAGATAAAATCTTCCGCCTTAATCGGGCACATTGAAATTAAAAAAAATCCCTCAAGCTGGGGGTGGTGGCTCATACCGCTAATGCTAGCTAGCACTCTGGAGGCAGAGGCAAGATCTGTGAGCTCTGGCCAGCCTGTCTCAAATAATTCCCTCAGTCCTTGCCTCCCAACCAGGCCTTTCCCCTACCAGAGACCTGTTTTTCAAAAGTGTCCCATACCTGAGCAAGATTTGAGCTGGAGATCTGCCATGTTTTTCAGCTAGTGCCAAGACCACTGGTTCCTCAAGCAGGACTGGCTCATCAGGGTGGTGCCAAGCACGATCAGGGGAACCCAACGGGCTGTAAGCAGTTACTTCCAAGCCTCGAGCTTGACAGTGGGCAATGAGCTCATTTTGAGCCAAGTATGGATGGCATTCCACCTGAAACAAGTTAACAAGCTTTCAGCATGGGGTGGCCACAGCCAGCTTACCTGACCCCATCTAAACTCTGCATATCACAGCCCTCTGCTGTTGACCTCTACTGCCTTTAAGCCCATTTGTTTTCACTGGTGAGTTTACGCTCTTCCAGACTTCAAATCCACCTTCACACAGAGAACTCCTGCAGCACTTCTAACAACTTGACACCTCCATTAAGGAGACTCATGACCTGATTCCTCCTGCTCTGTACACACAACACATTTTCCTGGAATCTGTTTGAAGTGCTCACCTGCAAGACAGCTGGGCGCACTGAGGCCACACTGAGGATGTCATCAATCTGCCGACTGCTGAAGTTGGACAAGCCCAGGGCTCTCACCAGCCCCTTTGCCACCAGAGCCTCCATAGCCTTCCACGTCTCCTTATAGTGGATGGAGTCGTAGCGGATAGTTTCGTCAGCATTCTTGGGAAAGGGGTTGTCTCCCCGCCTACGTGAAACAGAGGCCAATAAGTGTCAGCAAAAAGGTCAGGCTTCTGCCCTGCCTGTTCATCCAGCTATTCCATGTGCCATTACCACAAGACAAAGGGATAAAAGGACAAGAATTGAAACAGCAATGCTTCCTTATCCTTCCGGTTTGTGACTCGGGCATTTCATCTACATGGAATGCCTGTCCCTTTTTCTCTTTTTCATAGGCAGATTCTTTTTTTTTTTTTTAATTTTATTTTATTTTTGGTTTTTTGAGACAGGATTTTTCTATGTAGCCCTGGATTTCTGAAATTAGCTCTGTAGGCCAGGTTGGCTTTGCACTGAGAAATCCACCTGCCTCTGCCTCTTGGGTAGTAGGATTAAAGATGTGCACTGCCATGCCTGGTTCATGGCCCAGATTCTATCTCCTCTCCTCTAGCACAGCTTCCTTAACGCCGTATTCTTCAGGGGGTTTCTACTCATCTGACAAGGGCACGGGGCTGATGGAAGACTTCCCACAGCCTCTGCTGATAAGTTCACAGCCAGACCCTTGGGGGAGCTACTTCATAAGCAGAGCAGCACGTTTCCTGAGTGAACAGCAGAATCCTGGGGAACACTCATATAAACGCAGGATATGAACTAGACGCTATCCTCTTTATATACCTCAGCCCCTAGCTGCAGAAAGGGCAGAGTCCCGGGGTACGTAAGGTCCTCTGCTTGCTCCACAGATAATGCTCTTATCCTACTCTGCAGCTGTGAATATAATAAACTACAAACATTACCACACCCAGCCCAACTTCCAGAAACAGCTGAAGGGGCAAGGCTTACTCAAAGGCATAAGGCCAGTGCATCAAATAGAGGTCCAGGTACTCCAGCCGGAGATCAGCCAGTGTCTTCCGGACGGCAGCTTCTACATCCTCGGGGTGGTGCTTAGTATTCCACAGCTTGGATGTCACAAACAGCCCCTCTCGAGGCACTGCCTGCGACAGAGGCAGAGCCCACTGTGAGAAAACCCCTGAGCACTCAGACTTACCTACCCACACCTCCAGGAGAGAAACAGAGTGTGTCCCAGAATGTTACCCAATGCAAAACCATCAACCTAACTTAAAATTGGAGGTTTTCTTGTTTTTCTCTCTATTTCTTTGATTGTTTTGTTTCAGCGACAGGGTTTCTCTGTGTATCCTTGCCTGTCCTGGACTCACTTTGCAGACTCACAGTGATCCGCCTGCCTGTGCCTCCCCCAGTGCTGGGATCACAGGCGTGCCCCACCGTGCCGGGCTGCAAGGTTTTCTATTTAATGCTGTTGTGTCAATCTTAAGTATGAACTTTGCGGATGACAATGTTGAAAGGACAGATGCACTGAAAGCCGATGCCAGTTTCCCTAACTCATCTAAGACCAAGTCCCAGCTTCAGCCCTAGGTTCTCAAACCCTACTTCCATCTTTGTATCCCCAATTCTCACCTTGCCTGGTCCCACATTCTCCTTCAGGGCCTCTCCAATCTCACTCTCGTTGCCATAGACAGCAGCACAATCAATGTGGCGGTAGCCTGCACTGAGGGCATATTTAATGGCTGCCTTTACCTGCATTGAAAAAAGAAGAAAAAAAAATTTCAGTTCTACTGGTTTGAGCTGGTAAGGGAGAAAGATTACATGAAGGCCACCCATGAAGATGAGGGTGAGAAGATTAAAAAAAGAGATTCTATTTGCAGCCAGTCCTAAAGATACCTGATAAAACAGGGTCAGATGAAAGGGGAGGAGGACCTCCCCAATCAGTGGACTTGGAAAGGGGCAGGGAAGAGGTGAGGGAGGGAGGGTAGGAAAGGAAAGGAATGAAGGAGTGGGAAACAGCTGGGATACAGAGTTAATAAAATGTAACTAATAATAAAAAAAATAAATAAAATTTTCAAAAAACAATACAGTTCTAGGCAGGGGTTATAGCTCAGTTGGTAGAGTGCTTTGCCTAGTGTGTATGAAGTCCTAAATTTGGTCTCTAGAATAAACAGACTGTACTGACTTATGGCTGTAAATCAGCCCTCAGGCGGTAAAGGCAGGAGGGTCAGAAATCCCAGCTCCAGTCTGGAGAGACAGCGGAGACTAGCTGCTCTTCCAAAGAACCTAGGTGCGTTCCCAGAATCTACACGGCTGCACAGAACCTTCTGTAACTCTGGCTTCAGGGGATTAGATATAGTCTTCTGACTTCTGGGGACACTAGGCATGCACACGGTATAGTATACATACATACACACAGCAAAGCATTCATGAGCATAACGTAAAATAAATAAATCTAAATTAAAAAAATAAATAAGAAAAAAAGAAAGTTCAAGGTCATCCTATAATCCCAGCACTTAGGATTTACAGCAAGTTTAAGGCCAGTCCTGGGCTACAGAATGAGAGCATGCTAAAGTGAGCAACAACACAGAGGAAGCAAAAGAAGGGAGGAGAAAAGGAAGAAAGGAAGAAAGGAAGAAAGGAAGGAAGGAAGGAAATTCCTAGGCTTAAGGGCCAAGGCAGTGAAGAGAGGTACCTCAGAGAGCCACATATACAGAGTAAGCTCTGGGATCCTAGGCTAGTAAAACAGGTGGAGGGTAGAGATTTTAGAAGGCTTCTTAAAAAAAAAAAAAAAAGAAAGAAAGAAAAAAAATTAAGATTTGGAGCTGGAAAGATGGCTCAGCAGTTAAGAGCACTAGCTTCTCTTCCAGAGGTCCTGAGTTCAATTCCCAGCAACCACATGGTGGCTTACAACCATCTATAATGTGACCTGATTCCCTCTTCTGGCAGGCAGGTGTACAAGCAGATAGAGCACTCAAATACATGAAATAAATTAAATCTTTTTAAAAAACTAAGATTCTTTTATTGTGTTTTATGTGGATAAATATTTTACCTGCATGCATATATGTATATCACATGTACACCTGGTGTCTAAGTTAGCAGAGGCTTCAGGACCCCTGGAATTGGAGTTATGGATGGCTATGAGCCACTGTGTAGGTGCTGGGAATCAAATCAGGTCCTCTGCAAGAGCAGTAAGTGCTCTTAACTACTGAGCCACTCTCTACAACTCCCCAACACTGCTCTCCCAGCCACAAAAAAATAAAAATAATAAAAATGATTTTAACAAATCTTCTAAAAAAACAGCAAGATATAAGCTGGAACTAGAGTCCCTTAAGGAGAGAGAAGAAAGCAGAGACGGAGTCAAAAAAACATCTCAGTTAATCTGCAAAAACAACAGACTTAATAATTCCAGCACTCAGGTGTCGGGGGTTGGTCTAATGCTAATTACTGGCCCCCAAGATCTGGCTACCCCCCAGACAAGTACATTCTCACTATATACCAAGTGATGCTGTGTAAACTTTGCTTGGCAATATTCTCTGACTAGATAAATGAAGTAGCTGACAGCTTGTAGCTGGGCAGAAGAGAAGTAGGCAGAGCTTAGGTTCCTGGGCTTGGGGTCAGATGGAGACCACAAGGGGAAGAGAGAAGCAGGAAAACCCAGAAAAAAGGAAGTCTTCATGGAGCTACCATGAGGACATAGCCATGTGGGCTGGTCTGATGGAACAGAAGCAGCCCTGGCAGGAACAATTATGGCAAATAACTTGAACAGCAAAATAGCTTAGAGGGTTGATGTCTGCCCAGTTACTGTGCTTTAAAGCTTATATAATTCTAAAAGTTCTCTGTCTTGATTATTTGGGAACTAGCTGGGGTAGAAAAGCTCTTCAGAGTCTAATTTTACATTCTGCAACACACAGGGGGTTACTGGAGAAAACACAAGGTCCCTCTTGCAAATCCCTCCTACTCCCTGACAGAGACTCAAGAAGTCTCCATCCTCTTCCCAATCCTCACCTGCCCCGGCTCACTCTTCCATGTCCCAAGCCCAATCAGAGGCATGTTCTGTCCAGTGTGCAAAAGGACACAGGAAGCCATCACCGTACCCTAAAACACAGACAAGAAATAAATGGGAAGGAGATTCGTGCTACCGTGAGCCTTAGCCATCTGCTGCTGCAAACATGGTTCAGAAAGGGGTGGAGAAGAGTGGTGGAACAAAAACCTCATTACACATGTGCTGTGAGCAGAGACAGAGACAAGGTACCTGAAATAAGCAAATCCAGTAGCTCCCAGACAAACACTAACCAGACTACTAGCCTGGTTGGCCTTTCTTCACACAGCAAGGCTATAGATCAATGTTCAAAAGCTCCAGTTTTGAGGTTAAGAGAGTAGCTCAGTGGTACAGCACTTGTCTAGCATGCACAAGGCCCAGAATGTCATCCCTAGGAACAAACACATACTACAAACCCGGCATAGACATACGGTCTGTAATGCCAGCATTCAGGAAGCTGAGATAGGACCAAAAGTACCAAGCTGGCAGTGGTGGCACAAGCCTCTAATCCCAGCACCTAGGAGGCGGAAGTCGAATCTCTGTGCTTTAGAAGCCAGCATGGTCTACAAGGCGAGTCCAGGACAGCCAAGGCTTCACAGAAAAACCCTGTCTTGAAAAACCAAAAAATAAATAAAAATCCAAAACCTCTTCCAGTATTCAGGAGGCAGAGGCCGGTGGTTCTCTGTGAGTTCATGTCTTCTAGCCAGCCAGGGCTATTAAACAAACAAAACAACCCAAAAGTAAGCCAAAACAAAAATAGTTCCAGTATCAAAAGCAAAACACCAGACAAATAAACCAGGTCTCAAGCCAATGTAGGCCAGACAAATGTCACCAGGCAGTAGTGCCACAGGTCTTTAATCCCAGCACTTAGGAGGCAAAAGCAGGTGTATCTGAGTTCCAGGACAGCCAGGACTACAAACAAAACAAACAAACAAAAAGCCTGTTTTGGAAAAATAAAATACAAATACTGACAAAGGTCATTATGAAACAAGATTTCACAACAGAACAGGCCCAGAAAAGGATGACTGCTCTGAAGATGAAATGAATGTATCCAGCAGAAACATTTCAACATCAGAACTAAAGCTTTTTAACACAGACTCTCTGAATCCTTCTCACACATGTCTGAATGGCCAAGTTCAGAGGCTTGAATGAGCTACTTCAAGTGAAGTATGCCACATACCATTTTTCAGATGAGAAAATAGGATCAGAAAGGTAAACTTATTTGCCCTGTATAGGCAACAAAGTGGAAGAATTATGGATGTAAGGAAAAACTTCGAAAGAGACAGGTAAACAGATCTATAAAAAAATATACCCCTTGTTGGGTATTCTGGTACACGCCTTTCATTCCAGCACTTGAGAGGTAGGAGCAGGCAGATCACTGTGAGTTCCAGGCCATCCTGGTTCACAGAACAAACTTCAGGCCAACCAGAGCTGTATATAGTAAGACTTTATCTCAATAAGTAAACAATTAAAATAATATATATACTCAACCACGCAGTGGTGCATGCCTTTAATCCTAGCACTTGGGAGGCAGGTGGATCTCTGTGAGTTAGAGGTCAGCCTAGTCTACAGAGTGAGTTCCAGGAGAGCCAAAGCTCCACAGAAAAATCCTTTTTCAAGAAAGAAATAATAATGTATTTTTATATGTGTATAAAATATATATCCCTGTCATATATGATATGTTATAGAAAAGAAAATTAAATCCACAAAAAGAAATTGATTATTAATACCAGCTTTTAAGATGTTTGGACAAAGACTAGAGAGATGGCTTAGTGGTTAAGAAGACTGGTGACATCTTTAACCCCAGCACTCGGGAGGCAGAGGCAGGTAGATCTCTGTGAGTTAGAGGCCAGCCTGATCTACAAAGTGAGTTTCAGGACAGTCAAGGATACACAGAAAAACTGTCTTAAAAACCTAAAACAAAACAAACTAAACAAACAAACAAAACACTGGTAGATTTTCTAGAAGACCCAAACTCGATTGCCAGCACCATGGCAGCTCACAACCATCTGTAATTCATGTTACAATGCGTTCTTCTAGCCTCCTCGGGCATCACATATACATGGTACACCAGACATACAGAAGTAAAATACCCATAAACATTAAAAAAGAAAGAAAAGAAAAGAAAGAGAAGAAAGAGGAAGGCCGGGTGGTCAACTTCTTTAATCCCAGCACTTAGGAGGCTGAGGCAGAGAAAGCAGATCTCAAGGCCAGCCTGATCTACAAAGTGAGTTCCTGGACAGCCAGGGCTACACAGAATGATTTTGTCTCAAAAAACAACAACAAAAACAATCAAACAAACAGAGAAAAAAAAAAAAAAAGATAGGTAGGCGGTCAGTCAAACCGCATAAAAATTCTCAGTCAACCAATACTGAATGTTCTAGGAGTAGAGAAATAACATTTTAACAGGCTTCCTACACTCCTTTGTCAGTTTGGAAAAAAACGTCAATATGATGTGACAAGAGTTTTGGCCAAAATCTGCACAAAGGCTACACATGGACAGCCGAAAAGACAAAACCGCCTAGGATGGTTTCTTGGAGGTGGCACACACCTGTGATCTCAGCAGTGGGGAGGGAGAGGTTGTCAGATCTCTAAGTCGGAGGCCAGTCTGCTCTACAGAGTGAGTTCCAAGACAGCCAAGGCTACAGAGAGAAAACCTGTCTTGAAAAATCAAGCCAAACAAACAAACAAACAAACAAACCTCCCCATGGCCCCCCTCAAAAACAAAAACAAACAAACAAGGGGCTGAAGAGATGACTAGTGGTTAAGAATACTGTCTGCTCTTCCAGATGTCCTGAGTTCAATTCCCAGTGAACACATGGTGGCTCACAACCATCTATAATGTGATCTGGTGCCATCTTCTGATGTGCAGGTGTACATGCAGACAGAACATTCATATACATTAAATAAGTCTTAAAAAAAAAAAAAAAAAAAAAGTGAGGCTGAGCATAGTAGAGCAAGCCTGTGCTCCAAGCATTTGAGAAGTAAGGGCAGGAGGATCATCCTCCACCACATATTGAATCTGAAGCCAACCTGGGCAGCAGAGACCCTGCTTGCAACGAAAACAGGATAGTCGTAATTAGTCCCCGTACCAGGAGCCAGAGGCAGGAAGATCTCTGAGTTTGAGGCCAGCCTAGTCTACATAGCAAGTTCGAGGACAGTGAGGACAACGTAGGGAGACCCTGTCTCAAACAAGTAAAACACATCAAGTAAAAGATAGGATTGGTGGTAACAAGCCTGTAGTCCCAGCTGCTTGCTAAGATGAGACAGAAGGCGTGCAAGTTCAAGGACTGCCTGTGCTACACAGTGACTAGAAAGGCAGCCCAGGCAATACAGTGAAAACTTATCTCAAAACAAAAAAAGTGAAAAAACATCTGGGGCTGGAGAGAGGCTCAGAGTTCACGAGCACTGGCTGCTCTTCCAAAACTCCTGAGCTCAATTCTACTTATAATGAGATCTGGTGCCCTCTGCTGGTGTGTAGGCAGAACGCTGTAAATGTAATAAATACATAAATACAATAAAATGAATGGGGGGTGGAAGAGATCTAGGACTATAATGATAAACCAGTCTGCCTCCATCTTGGGCTTGACAGCCACCTTATAGTAAAACCAAACTGGGTTCATTTTTGTCTATGATTAAATGTTTTTCTCAAGGTTATGTTCCACCTTAACTACAAACGGTTTTGTTCTGCCTGTTCCAGGAAATGGCAACAATGCCTTTGTCTCAGGAGGTTCTGACCATCTTGCTAACCTACCTTCGTTTCTAAAGGTTACTATGACCACCTCCTTATGTTCTGCTGCTATAACCCTGCCTCTTCCCATTTGTGAACCCCCTACCGCTGCGCTATAAAAAATTTTATCTTTCCACATCCAATGCCGACCTTTTGCCAACCTTAGTGGGAGGCATCACGTGTACAGACATTTAAAAAAAAAAAAAAAAAAGAAAAGAAAAAGAAAGCTTGCTTTTAGTTTTTTTGGCCATAATGCTTTGGGTTGGTAGTCTTTCTCCTCCAATCTCTGTAACTAATGAAGTGGTGGGATGCTGACTGGAATGTTTGAGACCCTAGGTCCAATACGCAGCAAGTGGGGAGGAGAGCCAACATTTATTAAAAAGAGAAGGGAGAGAGAAGAATATTTACTTCAAAATCCAGTAAAGTAGAAATTACCTCTCCCCTTGATCTTCTCAGACCATAAATAGTGTCCTGGGGCTAATAACATCTTTATAAATATGAACTTTGTTTCCAGGTTTTAAAAGGTGTATGAAGGACAGGTAGTAAGCTGTGATTAAATGAACACACCAAAACTGAATTTTATAGCTTAGCAGAGCTTCAATATAAAAGCTGTTCTTTCTGCTGAAACTACAACAAAACCCACACACCAAACTGCACAGTCTTTGTAACCACAGATCTCCCAGGGGTCAAGCCAGCGGGTCGATGGCCAGGTCCCTGGGCTTGATCTCACACAGTAACCTGTTTACCTCCCCCAGGTTTCCCCCAGCATAGGGGAAGGCTATGAAATTACAAGGACGGAGACTGAACAAAAGCCTAGCTTATAGGGAACATGAAGGAAACCTTAATCTTGCTTCTTCATTCCTTTCACAGGTGAAACTGAAAACCAACAGAGCGGGATAAAAGGCAGGAAGAACAAACAAAGGTCTGTAAAGAATAAGAGCTTCCGAGAAGGGCGGCAGCAGAAGACAGATTTCCAACAGGACAGAAACTAATCCTAGGGTAGCTGAGATTTTTCTAGCAGTCTGCTTTAGGCAACAGCTTTCCAGTATAGCCCAGAAGAGCTGCTGACAAGACAAAAAGAAAGAGGTATTTACAGAAGTGTTTCCCGATTTTGAAGCCCTTTCCACTGACTCCAAACGACTCTGTGTCCTTTGGCTTTGTTCCCCATCCTCCTTTCCTTCCTTTGGTCAGGTCTGTGTTTTCAGTCATTTACAACTCTCACTGTTCCCACACCAGTTTAGCTGTCCTGGACTCACTCTATAGATCAGGCTAGCCTCCAATTCACAGATCCATCTGCCTCTGCCTCCCTGAGTGCTGCAATCTTCTGGGCCTTTCTGCCAGCAGTGGTCCACAGGTGTCCGAGACTAAAACGATCTCCTCAGATCTGTCTACGGACTGCTGGGTAGTCCAGGATCTAGAATGCACAAACTCGGATTTAAACCTCATCTCTGCTATTTCAAGAGACACATCTAATGCAGCTTACACAGTACCTGACTCATTCTCCTCTTTCTTATTCTCTAAATCACTGAAGACCCAAAGCCCTGAATAGCAAGTATTAAAACAAATCAAACAAAGCCACGCAGTAGTGGCACATGCCTTTAATCCCAGCAGTTGGGAAGTAAGAGGCAGACAGATCGCTGTGAGTTCAAAGCCAGCCTGGTCTACAGAGAAAGTTCCAGGACAGCCAGAGCTACACAGAGAAACCCTGTCTTGATCCTCGTACCGCCACCCCCCCCCAAAGAACCAATGCCTGAAGTTATCCTCTGATCTTCATACCCACTCATACAGTAGTAACAGAACATTCTTATAAATAGAAGTCATCTAAAGCGTTTTTATCGTCTCTTGCACTTCTGGAAACCATTTTTGAAAATCACCCTAAATATGTAATATTGGCCCAGATTTGCTCGGCTTTGTTTTCCGCATTAAAAATCCTGTTAGTAGCCAGTCATGGTGGCCAGGCCTTTCATCCCAGCACTCGGGAGGCAAAAGCAGGTGGATCTGAGTTGGAGGCCTGGCGGGGGTGGGGTGGGGGGGAGAGAATGACAAACAAAATCAATAAATAATAAAAAATACATACTTTCTGAGTTAGGTATGGTGGTGCACATCTGAGGCTAAGTAAGGCAAGATGACCCCCCGTGTTCACAGTGAAACAGCATTACATACTTAGACCCTGTCTCAAGAACACCAAAAGCAAGAAAATATAAAATAAATACATACACTTCCTGAGGCTGGATATAAAGCTTTTCTAGTATATTTACTCCACTGTTCCTACCCTAGCTGTGACCACTCCTATCTCCTACCTAAACCAAGCACCATTTTTATTTTGGACTTATTCAAAATCCATCCACCAAATCCAATCATGTGACTCCTTGGCTCAAACTGTTCTGCAATTCTCCCCGGGTTAAAGTCCAGACTCCTTTAAAACCTGGCTCCCCAGAGTTAATAAAATGTAACTAATAATAAAATAAAATAAAATAAAATAAAATAAAAATACGTTTAAAAAAAAAAAACAAAAAAAAAAACAAAAAAACCTGGCTCCCACACTCCTCATTTCCCCACTTTTTCATTTTCAGCTCTGTGAAACGAGCACCAGTTGACTCCAGGTCTCTGCACATTTTCTTTCCTCAAACTTCACACTTTCCTAGCTAATTGTGACTGACCTTTGCACTAGTACTGAATTTCTGGTTCCTTCCTGACACGTCTCATCACTTTCACACATAATTGTGTGTGTGTGTGTGTGTGTGTGTGTGTGTGTACCTACTGATAAGACTGTGTATCTTGCTGCTGCTTTTTATCCACAGAAAGGCAGAAAGGTTTCCCCCACCAACCTGGGTCATTCATCTGAACCCCTTACCATGCACTCACAGAAGCTAATGGAGGAGAGACCTTGAATACTGGGGCTTTTCTTTTTGATTTGGTTTTGTCCAGATATGGTCTCATGTATCTCAGGATGGCCTTGAACTCCTGATCTCCCTGCCTCTCCCTTCCAAGTGCTGGTTTTATAGGCATGAGATATTATGCCATGTTAGCTAGACAGCTTAGCTTGCTGGAAAAGCATCTGAGGAAGTCACTGATTCCATCACGGTCATTCTTTTCTTACAAAAGCAGAAGAAAAGTCATGTGTCTGCTGGGGAAGGTCTTACACATGTCAATTCTACCACCAAGCTACACTTGTTAGTATTTTGCTAGCTTTGGCAAGTTTTTGTTGTTGTGTTTTGTTTTGTTTTGTTTTAATGCTCTGGCTGGAGGTGTAGTTCACTCGGTATAGTGCTCGTCCTGGGGTTTGATTGCCAGCACTTCATAAAACCCTGCCTGGTGACTACAATTCCAGCACTCAGAGGTGGAGGCAGGAAGATCAGGGGATTCAAGGTAACCTTGGCTACACAGCACAAGTTCAAGGCAAGACTAAGATACAAGAGACCCTGTCTCTGGGGTTGGAGAGACAGCTCTGCTCTCGTTTCTCTGCTCTTGCTCTGCTCTTCTGGGTTTGATTCCCAGAAACCCACATAGCAGCTCACAACCATCTGTCACTCCGGTTACAGGGGATCTGTTGCTTTCTTCTGACCTCCATGGGCACCAGGCACCCACAAGGAGCACATACATACACACAGACAAAACGTATGAACATAAAATTAATGAATCTTTAGGGAAAAAAAAATCTTGAGACTGTCTCATACAAATAAATAATCAATCCCCCTGGACCAGAAAGGATCATACTGAAATTAAACCTGTCCTATGAACAAAGTGGAACCCTGGAAAATTAACAGGCCTGATCCGAACCTAGGCAGGTCCTAAAATCCTATGAACAGTCTAAACAATAAAATCCATTTAATAGTAGATAGGCTCAGTGATGTGAAGGTTCCGCTATTTTCACTTTAAAAGGGCTCCGAGGCGACAGAATAAAAAACCTCCAACTTTCCTCAAACCCAAGGCAAGGGCTCGAGCAAGCTCATCACTTCCTAGAAAGATCCCGGCACCTCCACTAGGAAAGGCAGAGACCCTAGAAAATACACGCAGATGAGAAAAATAAAGAGATGGCAACTAACATGTACAAAGTACTTAACATGTACCAGACACAAAGATTTATCCCAGTTCTCCCGACAGCACTGACGTTCCTGCCCGTTCCAACTCTGAGGAAGACCCGGAGAAACAGACAGTCTTCCGTTCTCAAATCCGCTGAAAAGCGCTCAAATCCGCAACGAAATCTCATCCCCCCTCAATCCTGCGGCCCCGAAGGACCCCGGCTTCTTCCTCACAAAACAGATGGGCCATCACCAGCAAGAACTCACCTTGGCAGTGAGCGCAGGCTGTGGAAAAGGCAGAGTGGTCAGAATTCAGTTCTGCACCCCAGTACTGAGCCAACAGGCCTCCGTTAAGCCCAGCGGTGGAGAGGGAGCCCCACCCCGGGGAGGAGCAAGGGCCGGGCTTCCAGAATCCTGCGCTGGCACAGCTAGGCCCCCTGTCCTGCGAAGCAGCTCGGGGTAGAAGCCAGAGCGGGGACTTTGCACATCGCTCCCCTGAGAACCTCTCGCTCCACCACGAGCCTCCGACGGGGGCTGGTGGAGGTGTCCAAACTGCAGGCGCACAGGCTTCTCGGACGGTCCTGGGCAGCTCAGCTGGCCACGCCTCCAACCGGCCCACAGTGCACCGCAGGCACCTCTCTAGGAAGGGATTCTTGTCCTTCCCGGAGACTACCCTCTATGATAGCGAGCGGGTCCTTCTGGCCGCCCATCCTGCTTTCTCTGAAGTGGATTCGTCGGGTTCTCAGAGCAGCCCCGACACAAAGTTTGACAGAACGCAGAAAGTTCCGCCTCTTCAGATCCCATTCTAGAAAGTTATTGAGTTTTCAGTCAGTACCTTGCACTGGCAATGTGCTAAAAACTTCAGAACCATGGGCGGGGGGCGTGGCTAAACCAGTACAGCGCTTGCTTCACGTAAAGTTCTGGATTCAAAATCCCAACACTGCATACAGCTGGGTTGTGATCCCCACACTCGGGAGGTGGAGGCAGGAGGACCAGAAGTTCAAAGTTGCCGAGGATGTAGCTCAGTTGGTAGACTGCTTGCCTATCAAATAGCGCCCTGGGTTCCAACCTCAGCATGGCATGGTAGCATATGCACATCTGAGCCCTCCGGATGTGAGGGCAGGAAAATCAGGAGTTCAAGGTCAGCCTCTCCTACCTATTTAATGAATTTAAGACCAGCCTAGGATACCTGAGACCCTTGTCAGAAAAAAAAAAAAAAAAAATCTAGACATGCAAAGTCATTCTCTCCTACAATGGAGAGACAGAGGTGAGCAGGATCAGAAGACTCAAAAACTCTTGCCTCCTTCACAGTGAGTTTGAGGCCAGCCTGAGATTCATGAGCACCTATCTAAAAGGAAAAAACCTGGAGCTGGAGAGATAGGGGAGGGGGTGGGGTAGGGGAGGGAATGGGGGTATCAGAAACATTTAATGCTTTTTCAGAGAACTAAAGTTCAGTTCCCAGCACTCATGTCACGATGCTCACGACCCCCTGTAACCCCAGCTCCAGGGGATTTAACATCCTCGTCTGCCCTCCATGAGCACCTGCATACAGCTCTCGCTCTCACGTGCTCTCTCTCTCACACACACACACACACATTCATTCATACACACATTTGTGTGTATATATAAATTAATAATTTAATTAAATCATAATATAAAAATCTAGGAATTTTGTTTGGAGGTTGTTTTATCTGTTCATTTTTGTTTTTTGTTGTTGTTTTTTGAGACAGGCTCTCATTACATGGCTTTGGAACTCATGTAAATCAGGTTGCCCCCCAAATCAGAGAGATCTGCCTGGCCCTGCCTCTCCCGTGCTGAGACTAAAGGCGTGCACCACCACCATGCTCAGTCCTTTTTCTTTTCTTTTTAAAATGTTAGTTTATTACCAGGTAGTGGTGGCACATGCCATTAATCCCAGCACTGAGGAGGCAGAGGCAGGCAAATCTCTGAGTTCAAAGCCAGCATGATCTACAGACTGAGTTCCAGGATGGCCAGGGCTACACAGAGAAACCCTGTCTCAAAAAAAAAAAAAAAAAAAAAAACAACGAAAATATTTATTTTTATGTGTATGTGTGTGCCTGAGCATATGTCTGTGTACTACATCCCTTGGGGCTGGTCATAGAAGTGCCTGCTTACTGATCCCAACAGGAGGTCTCGCACAAACTATGTCTATTAAGAAGCACAGCATCTTATATGCTATTTCCAGGGCAGAAATGGGACATAGCAAGCAGAAAGGATCATACAAACGGGACTAAACCAGAGGAAAGCTAATCAAACAGTGTTGCCTAAGGGGGAACACGGGATACCTCAAAAACATTACAGCCCAGGCACACCGCAGCTAACGGCGGTGGACTGCTAACCATAGCCCCATTCAGTGGGAAGAGTTGGGTTCTCAGGATCTGAAGCAGCAGCTTTCCCCCTAGGCCCTGGCTTCAGGCCGTTACAGGCCTTGCCAGGCATGTTTCTGGTTTTGAAGAGGAGTTAGGTACATTCCCGGTAGTCAAGAGAACAGAAGCTGAAGCAGAGGCATTCTTTTTTGTTTGTTTTGTTGTTATTGTCTTTTGAAAACAGAAAGGTTTCTCTGTGTAGCCTTGGCTGTCCTGGACTCACTTTATAGACTAGGCTGGCCTCAAACTCAGAGATCTGCCTGCCTCAGTCTCCCTGAGTGCTGGAAGCACGGGCGTGCACCACCGGGCCCGGCTGAAGCACAGGCGTTCTCAGGACCAACTCTCATGGAGGCATTTCTCTGAGGGCTGTCAGGTGGTGTTCTGATGCCAGAGGAGCTCTGTTTCAATCTTACCGGTGGGATACCCCTGCACACTCATATATGAATTACTAGTTGAACATATCATTTTGCCAAGGAGTAAGTTTTCCAGAGTAGGTTATTTGTTTTAGGGATTGTACAAGGCAAACACTGGTCGCTGGGTGTGTATACGTGTGTGTCAAACTTCTGATAGTCTGGACCTGTTTATTTATTCTCTACAGTCGCAGCAGGGTAGACTGCAGCCAGGGCTTAGTTAAGGTTAACTCTTTCTGGTTCTGTTATACTCAGCAGGGGCCTTACTCTGAGCCCAATCTACTCTGAAGCAAAGCAGCCTGATTCTGAGGTTAGAATAGTTCAGTACAGCCATTCTTCCTAGAGTACTGTCCACACAGATGCCTGACATGTCACCCTATTATAGTAAAGGCAATCAGGAGCTAGGTTTGGTGGCTTATGCTTGTAATCCCAGAATTCTGGATAATGGCTAAGGCAGGAGAATCGTCCTGAATTGAAGGCTCACCTGGGCTACAAAGCATCCAGACCAGCCTAAACTAGAGGGAAACCTTGTCTGAAAAAAATAAGTAAATTCAGATTCCAGTTCATTGTATCAGAAGTTAGAATCCCTCAAACACATCTTGGCCCAGCAGATTTACCATCAAGACACACATGAAATATCTGCCTCCCATTGAGGGATGTTTGACACCCCTGCAGGTGTCAAACATCGAAGGGGACCTCTCAAAGAGACAAGAAAGAAAACACTGTGCAGCTTGACTTCATCAGCCTGCATCAGACTTCAGGGAGGCGGGCAGCTCACTGTTAGCATACTTACAACACAGTACAATTTGGGAAAAGGTTTCCAGGCAGCAATCAGTCCAGGATAATAAAGCTTAAGACATGACTACACCAGGAGTGAGGGTTCCGTACTGGCCTGGAAACTAGCGTGCTCTCCGGCCAGTCACATACAGGTCAGCAGGCCACACAGCACATGTGACATCTCCCCTCAGGATGGGGGAAGATCTCAGATGACCATCTGAGAAGTGTGGATGAGGTCTGCCTCTATAGCAAATGGTTGGTGAGGGGCTGTAGAAATGGCTCAGAGGTTAAGAATCTGGCTGTTGTTCCAAAAAGGTCCTGAGTTCCCAGCAACTGTCTATAGTGAGATCTGGCGCCCTCTTCCGGTGAGCAGGCACACATCCAGGCACAATGCTGTATAAATGATAATATATAAATTATAAATAATAATTTTTTCTTTTTTTAAGATAGGTGAGGTCTGCCTCCACAGATAGCAAAAGTTCACCAGGTCATTTACAGAATATACTCTCAGCCTTCTGGATGGAAAGATGGAAGGCAGGTATTTGATTTTTAATCTCCTCTATCGAGGAGACATCCCTGCATGTAACATTCCTGCTTCTCTCCGAGTTCTCCGTGAGAACAAGGACCTTTGTGCCCCCAACATCTCATGTTAGTACTTCCACCTTCTTCTGCATGGTCTAATGGACTCTCTGTTCTTTTTACTGCTGAATCGGGGCTTCCTGAAAGTCTGAAGTACAGAGCTCAGTAGTGACCTTGCCAACTAATGAACTGCTGAGTCACTGCTGTAACCCAGCTGCCTCCTTCCCCAACTCTGAGATTACAAAGTGTCCATGTAAAGTGTAACCCCAGCCCTCCAAGAATTTTGCTAGTCAGGTTGGATGTGTATTGTTTTTCAAAACTAATCTGTTTTCTCAGGGTGGCGGATCAAGGCTCTAATCCCAGTACTCAGAAATTGGAGGAGGCAAGATCAGCCTTGTCTGTGTAACACTTTAGAGGCAAACCTGGGCTACATGAGACCCTGTCCCTAAACAAATAAATAAAAAGTATTATTTTGAATGGTATAGCTATGACTTAGGGCATTACCCCAGCCTGCTTTTTGTCCCTGTATGTGTGACACTAATCAAAACCAACCTGGGGAGGAATAGGCTTTTATTATTTTACACTTCATGTCATAGTCTGAATCAAGTCACCAGAGGCACCAAGCAGGAACCTGGAGGCAGGAACTGAAGTAGAGAGTGAAGGGACTTTAGCAGCCTGAGCTTTACAAACATGGCTCTGGCCAGCCTTGCCCTTCCCCCATTGCCTTTGCCTTGCTAAAAACCCTAAGATTACATTCCTAAAGCTAGCCGCCAAGGTCTATTCCTTTACGTGGCCACTTCCTCCTGAAGCTGACTACGAAGGTCCAGCTATCAAAGTATTGAAGTCTGGCACTCAAAAGCCCCCTTTGACTCACCTAATTAACATGCCCAATAAAAATTAAACACCTTATCCTAACACCGGGATTTTCCTTTTTCACCTTTATAAAATCCCGTTTGCAGGGGCTGGACCAGTAGTGAAGAGCACTGGCTGCTATTTTAGAGGACATGGCAGCTCACTACTGTCTGTAACTCCTGTTCCAGAGGTTCCTATACAGACCTACACACAGGCCTACATGCAGTCCAATGTGTATTAAAAAAATCGCATTTGCCTATGGGTCATGGCTGTCTCCTCTCTATCCATGCACAGTCCTTTCTGAATTAAAATTCCTCTACACTATATCTTCTGTCTTTACCTCATATTCCCTGCCCTCTGTTCCTCCGGGGCAAATAAATCTCCTTTGTGCTGAGAACTTGGTCTAGGGGTGTCTTGTGCCAATACAAGCCAATACTGGCTTGTTCTTCATGGCTTGTTCAGCTTGCTTCTATATACAACCCAGGAACACCTGACCAAGGATAAACAATGGCCTGTGGCCTCTCATGCCAGTCATTAATCAAGAAAGTGTCCCCACAGACAAGCCCACAGGCCTGTCAGAGGGTCCTTCTTC